CATTCTCAGAATATCTAATTCGTTTGACTGCTCATATGATATTTTAGAATTTAAGAAGAATTTATTTGAATCAAAAACAATGAACAAGAAAGTTAATTCGATATTGTAGGTATATCTAGATATCACTAGTCATCATTATTAAACATTAACAAATTATGTTGGAAAGTGGAATGTTGCCAACTCACTTAGGCTAAAGACAGACAATCCGTCCCTAAGTTACACAAGTATACCAATGAGAGTATATCAATTTCAACAGTTCGGTTATACACCGCATCCCAGGAGTCAGACTCTAGATTCATGGAGGCAAAGGCCACCATAAAACATGTTGGAAAGCTTCTGCTTTTAAACTTTTTACAAGCACAATCGTTCATAATATGTGGATTAATTTTTAAAAAAATACAAGTTAGTAAATTAACTTAATAAATAATATAATAGTCATAAAGCTATCAATAGGATTCCATTAGCCAGGAAAACTGTAGCATGAAGAATTTTGGTCTGACCAGTATGGAATGATTAATACATGAGGCAAATCCAATTCCCACATCTAGTAACATATAGTATATATAGTGTAGAAAATTACAAGCGATATAAGATGATGGGAAACAGGACTTAATGATTTTCTAAGCCTAACTCAATACATCTATCAATACAGATATCCTCAGTAGTTTATTACTAAATTCCTGTCGAGTATAAACCGCGATTTCCAACATCACTTATTGGAACGCTCACATGCACACATGGCCTGACACAAATTTGAATGAACTCAAGATGACGAACTATGAAATAACATAGTAAGAGAAAACCAACAAGAGAAAAGGGGAAAGATGTAAATTATGATTTCAGTACAAATTGAGGAAAAACTAGAAGAAAGAAACGTTATCCTAGATTTACAGAAAGGTTGAGTATGAATTAACCAAAATGAATGCAACCGATCTCGAAACGTGCCACCTTAAGTTTCCAACCACAAGACTGTTTATTTTTTAAATACCAACACGGAAGTCTGACAGTCCTAGTAAGTTTCTCCAACAATACATTTCTTTCGATAGAAATGACTATCAAGGATAGATACAATATGACGAACCTCAGTTGATGTACAAATACTAGTCAATAAATTAGCATTTCTGCTGCATTTCGCATCGTTCAATCGATTTTCAAACCTGTGGTGGTAAAATTACGCCAGCAATAATGAAAAAAACAAAATATAAGGACTGAGGATAAACTTCACGGTTTCAAGTGTATTTAAGTCTATTGTAGTTAGTAATTACAGTTGTTTTCGTTTATTTAGTCACTCAATTGTAGATATTTTGGAATAATTCCTATCATAGAACTAATTGGAGGTATGTCTTCTGCTATGTTGTGATTTTTCCTCTATCATGACAGACTGCCCTATACTTCATACATCCGTAACATGATGAAGTGGTATTTTCGTCATGCAAAACTACATTTTTCATGTAAGCCAGCAAAAACGACAGATAATGAAACACGTCCTCCATCATGGATTATGATAGTGTAAATAAATTCCCGCTTCATTTTGGTTGGTCGCCAGGTGCAAGGTCGAAATTGCAAACGAGAGTGGAATTTATCCATCCAATATAAGGATATTTTCTTCCCAGTCAGTTAGCTACAACGTAGGGCCAGACACATATATGCATCGGTCCAAGTTGCCATACCTCATTAGCACAACAAGATGAACACCAAATTCATAGAAGTAGTTAATTCAGTGGTGGTAATATATAAAAGAAAGATTGCATATAAGGAGATAGTACATGAATAAAGAATTAGTCCGTAGAAAGAAAGATATGAAGCGATTTTAATCTCATAGTTTAAAGGAAGACAAAGAGTGTATACACCTACGCCATTGTGATCTATTCCGAGCCATGTCACACGAAGTCTCCAACCATTGGTTACGATAGTCACGCGGACCCCAACCAAGTAGTCTGCATCTACCAACATGGCTCAGACTAGAAGTTAGTGACTTCAAGCACTGATGCTACGTTTTAGTTTGAACGCCCCTAACTTTTATCCAACCATGCCCAACACTAGTCAGCATTACACGTCGTGGTAATCGGTGTTCAGGCATACGCCACACGTGGCCCAACCATCTCAGTCGATGAAAATTCATAACCTCATCAACTGATTTACCACCATTCCCTAATACCCTGAGTCTAACCTCATTATTACACCTGCCCGGTGATCTCAACAGATGCGAGCAATATTTCTAAGACATCTGTGGTCAAATACTGGTAGATTACGAGTATCCTCAACTCTTAATGGTCACGTTTCACAGCTGTAAAGTAGAACAGAACGAACTGCCGTACAGTATACTCGTCCTTTAATTGATAGACGGATATCTCGCCTTAGCTATAGATGGTGACGTAAGTTGGCAAAAGCCAAACGAGCTTTTCGAATCCGTGCTGAGATTTTGTCAGACACCAACCCATTAGGGCTGATCAGACTTCCAAGATAAGTGAAGTTGTCAACGCGTTCGACTACTTCACCCCTTATCCTTAGTTCAGGTGTTGACGCAGGCTAGTCCTGAAACAACAATTTGCATTTAGAGGAAGTATCACTTTACAGGCTTTTGCTATTTTTCACTTCCTAGAATTTTATGATTTAAAATTTTGGGTTTATTAGAATCCTTTTAATTCTTTATCAAACGTAATAAGTGATCATTGAGACACCTTCGATGAAAACTTATTAGATAGGTAGGTTAACAAATTAGAGTTCATGACTACAAATTTGTCCACAATAACTTCAGTGAATTTGAACAAAATGTCCGACAGTATTGTATAGTATTGATACTCAGAGTAATCTAACGTAATGTTTACTTGATAAAGCTGTAATTGATTATACATAAATTAAGTTTAAAGGTTTAAGGATAGGATATATATCCGTGAATTCCCAGCTCAGCTGACTCTCAATGTTCAATATATGTGCAGTATCAAGGATTTTCGAGCGTTTTTCAATTCACTTAGTGGTTAAATACTGTATATTAGGGCATAATTTCACACTGAGGAATTTCATTTCGAGCTTTTACTTTATCCTTTCTATTCGGTAAGTTGGGTTACACTGCAGTAGTACGTTCACAGAAGACATATGTAGACAGCTTTGGATGACTAAAATGAAGTCCTCAGTGTAAATTACAAATCGATATGCAGCACTCACTCGCTAAATGAACGGAAACATGCTAAAAAAGAACCGATGTTACACCTTTATTGAACAGTGAAAAGGGGTTGGTTATCTTCACACAAGGTATGCCCAAAAGCAATTTTGAAGAATAGTACTTCGACATTTATTCTGAATATTTAATAACTCAAATATTGAATCAGTTTGCACAGCTCATTCATAATGTATATTCTCAGATAAATAATTTCAGCTCTATATAATTTTTTAATAGAGAAAACGATAGTGTTTTAATCCAGAAGTAACCCAAATGTAATCAGCCGCAGACTAACAGATCCGCTACTGGATAAACTTAGCCAAAAGCTATGAGGATAAAACGAATATTACAAAATACTCCACTGTAATACTAGGTTAAAATCGACTAGTTGTATTTGGTCAAGTGAAGTGTATAGACCCAAGAAAAAATTTCAAGGAAATCACTCTTATCAGTTGAAAAATGTTTCTTTAAAACAGTTATTTTTATTCATTTGATTTATGTTATGTGCGACGTGAAACGTTCGGATACTTGTCACAGGTCGTATATTGCTCGTCTTTTTTTAGTACACTAATGAGAACTACACTGATCAGAAGACTATATGAATAATATACCTATAATTTATTTATTTTATGTAATAAAATATTCAAGTTGATTTAACTGCTGTGCTCATAATTATGTCAGAAAATACAGGTTCGAATATATAGTCTTTAGATTTAATTCAAACTGACTTTTCAAAAACCATGACTACTTTGTACCTAGTTCATATAAATTTATCCATATTTCAACGTATTTTACATGACGATAATTAATTAGACGAAACTCACGAGGTATTACTACTAATTCACTTCAATTTATTTACTTCTGGAAATATGAATTATAACAAAATTTTAAAGTTTACCCAAGTTTGTAAAATGTTAATTCGTACAGTAATGCATTGTTTGATACAAATCATTTTTTGTGATTCAGGTTTCATCTGTTAAACACAATTATTTCTTTATTAAAATAATGAGTAAATACATAGCTTAGAACATTATTATACAAACTGAGGTAATAGTATGGCCTATAATTCAACAAAAGCACAAATTTAACTTTATCATTAATTCCAACATCTAAATTTAGGAAAATCAGAATTTGTTACGGTAATGTAAGAAAGTAATTTTTACTGAAATTGAAACTGTTTTTAAATCGATAACCTTGTCTAAAGTTAGTTCTAAATCGATAAACTAAGACTACCAAACAATTGAAAACTATTTCATGTATAAATTTCTAAAAATGTCAAGTTTCTTAGGACCACATGATAAAGGATGTAAATGTCTGAGCATCATATATTAGATATTATTGAATAAATTAAATAGTATAATATTATCATTAGTATGTGACGGGAAATAAGTCCAAACTATGAGTCTTTTGATAAAACCCTTAAGTAAATTAACTTTATTTATCAACAACCCGTTCTATGCATAAAGAAACCACCAAGAAGTTTGTAACACTACTTTAGTCCCCTAACCTGATGGTACAACTAGCACTCACACAAAACGTGAAGCCTCGAGTTAAATATATAGGTGAGTAATTGCTAATTGAACTACACTGGAACTAGAACTAAGTAATATATTTCGATAGACCAATGAGAAGACGGAATCGACCAGAAATTGTTCCAAATGTATAGTACAAATACATCACCCTTTTAAAAGGCACCAAGTGTTTTGATTAATATAATTAATTGTGTACAACCTTTGGTTTAATTCTTATGACACTATGGATGAACTTAGATTTTTTGCGATTAAGAGATTGTATATTGTATAAGCATTTAAAGACACAACATACATAATAGATGACTTACTTCTAGCAGAATCAGGAAGGCGTTTCAGGAAGCGATCAGTTACATCAAATTCATCATCCAAGGTGACTGATAAAAGTTTATATGCAGCTTTAACTAAGAACTTCTGTAATATTAAATGTTGAAAAACACCAGCCATTCCTGTGTGCCCGACCACACCTTCTCGACGTCTAACATTCCTAGTTGTAACTATGGCTATAGGTGTTTGTTGGTCTGGCAACCACCCATAGTGTTTTAAAGTATTGCCAAAAACCCATTCCAAATCAGAATAAGTAAATAAGACACGTGTAAGCATTCCATATTCAAGTTTATCACTAAGCTGATGGGCAAAGCCAGCAGGAGCTACAATAGGGACATTGTACATAGCAGTACTGAATCTCGCAGCGTTAGCCAGAGTAAAATCATTTAAAGGGCCGAAAATTACATTCACTCCATTTGAATTTAGTTGAGTTAATAAGGCAAGTGCGTCACATGCAAGGGCATCAATGTATAATATGAGTACTGTAGTAAAACTGACACCTCCAAAAGCGGGAAATGCTTGTATATCTTCGAGAGCCAGATCAATTGCAGGAAGGACCTGAGCAAAATTATCTGGTCCCAATGGTCCAAGTTGTACTCCCAAATGCACATTTGTGATATATCGAGCATTAGAACCTTTTGGTTGTAGACGAGATTGTTTAAGTCGTTTTTCATTGATTAAATTTGATTTTGCAGAAACATGCTTAAAAGCTGAATGAAGCTCTTGGAGCTTATATTTACGTTCCGGTAAGTTAGGACTATCCGGTGGCTTACATATTTGACCACTATGTACAGACCCAGAAATCTGAATTAAAAGGATCAAAATGAGTGTAGTGGTGACATGTGGAAACAAAGCATTCCAAGTTTTAAATGTTATGATATTAGAGCTTGATGGAATTTGACTAAAGAGCCACATGAATCCAGTAGCATGAGTGCTAAAATTGAGAACATAAATTCCTTATTTGAATGGATATGAAGGACAACTGATCCCCTTTTAATGACATTGCAAATACGTACATCCGTAACTAACTAGAAACTTAATCCGTGTGCCCCAGTTTTCTCAGCTAGATGAATGGCCCTGACGTATTAAGAATATGATTGGTTAATCTCAAGGTGAAGGTCACATAAATATTTTTGCTAGGCTGATATCTAGGGCAGTAGTAGTTATTTAGCCAATAGCAAATCAGAAGGAGTTATGGGTTGTCAACTCTTTATTCACACTGGAAAACAAAATTCAAACCAAGGTCAGATTAATCCAAGCCACAAAATTAAATGACAGGTAAAGCTCAGTTACACACAGACGACCTTTGACTTAGGCCTAGTAATATTGGGTGCAGAATGGCACAAATCTATAAATATTTATTTCGGTTGTATTTTAGTTCCCTTCTACCACGTACATTTAGGAAGCTTGGAGTTAGCTCTAGCAACTAAAAATCTTTAACTGATTATTACATAGTAAAAGAAGTCGTAATGAATTTTTATCACTTTTCTCAGTCGTACATAGAAGTATGCCGTCAGACTAATGTTATATACCTGGAATCTTAGAGGAGTGAAAGCTATATTTACTCTACATATAATGTCAGTCATCAACACCGAAAGGAAATAAATTTTACTACAACTAAATGATTTACTTTAATACATTCAAAATAGCTGTTTAAAACTCCGAACGCCGTTGAAACAAAGCCAATCAGGGCAGAGGTTTTGGCCTATACTCGAATTCATATTTTGGAACACTGTTCATGTAGTCCATAAGTCGTATATTTTGAGATATAATTGTAATTTTCAATTCTATCTAGCTCCTAAAAACTGTTACAATCTCGAACACTAAATAACGGCATTATAATTTGAGTTGAGATAAGTTTAATTGATATTCTGTTTCCTGAGATCATACCCATTATTTATTCTGCGTTTAATGAAACGAAACACTACTGTATTTTAGTAAATTCAATATTTTCATTCTTATCCAAGAAAGATAGTGTCAAAAGCAAATCTAGGCACGTCAGGTTATCTAGTCTATAGTAGCTAACTATTCGTTGTAGAAAGTCAAACTTTTAATATACATAGAAGTGACTGGACCTAAAAGTCTATTCTTGGCATTTATTAAAGGCATATAACAGGTAGTAGAAAATGATACGTGAAACAGATTTCAAGAATGTATAAAACCAACAATTTCCTTTAACTTGATTGTTATCCAGTCACAAACGTTAACTTTTCCAGAAAACCTGAGTCGAATACAATCGCTTCTTGTTAACTAATGGTAGATAAGCAGTTTCATGAAGCCATGCTCATACTGGTAACTTTACCATATTTCTGTGGGTAACCGTGTTTCACACAAAGTCTATTGCATTACTATTATCTCATCTTACTGACACCGATTGCTCTATTACTAAGAAGATCTTGTTTAAATGTATATATTTGTAAATGCAAAGATTTGATGAGTAACAGAAATACAAATACTATCAGATTTTTGATTGAGGTCATGAATCGATGAATTTTAGACCACCATTAAAAACTTCGAAGCACTGGATGGCCGTTTCGTCCTAGTATGGGACCTCTCAGCAGTGCGCACTCACGATCCCGCACGCGGGATCTGAATCCAGGACCTTCGGTCTACGCACGTAAACGCTTAGCCTCTAAATCACTGAACCGGCATTCACCTGTATTAATGTCTAACCTCAACCAATCCACGATGTTGGGCGACTATCTTCAATTGTCTGAGGTAGATACCTGTCTTTACCTGACATGGATTAGCTTCACTTAACAATCTCCACAACCCAATACTGTTAATTACAATATGTACACTAGTGACTAGCGTCGTGAAGGAATTCTGGAAATTCTAGTGAGAAGCCGTGACTAGTGGAGCTAGTCCATGTCAGGTAAAGACAGGTATCTACCTCAGACAATTGAAGATAGTCGCCCAACATCGTGGATTGGTTGAGGTTAGACATTAATACAGGTGGATGCCGGTTCAGTGATTTAGAGGCTAAGCGTTTACGTGCGTAGACCGAAGGTCCTGGATTCAGATCCCGCGTGCGGGATCGTGAGTGCGCACTGCTGAGAGGTCCCATACTAGGACGAAACGGCCATCCAGTGCTTCGAAGTTTTTAATGGTGGTCTAAAATTCATCGATTCATGATCTCACTCAAAAACTTAACAATCTCTACAACCCCATGCTGATACATTTTAATTTTTTTTCATTTATCAGAAAAGAAATGTTTAAATTACGCTCTAGTAAATTTCTCTATCTGCTCGCTTTATGATAAATTTAACAAATATCACTTCAATTAGGCATTGACTAACGAATAACCAAAATCTTTTATCAAATAAGATCAATGAATATCTAATCCAAAACAAAACATGACAGGAAAATATAAATTAGTTAAAAATCAATAACTGGAAGTCCAATAAATTAAATGACTTTGAATTGAATACAGTGAGACAAAAATTCCTTTATCTTCTTTTAGATCTCCATGATTTGTTATATTTGTAAGTGATATTCGCCTAGGATTGATCTCAGTAAGGTCAACATTGAAAACCAGATGGTATTAGATAGCTGTTTCTTTATTATTTTACGTCCTCCATGTTCATTTGTTGTCTGTCCTTTTTCTCTTGTGTTAGAGTGCAACAACTTAAATTAATGCACTTTATCATTGTGTGTACCTGTCTATCCATATAATTATTTGCATATTAATTATCTGAACAAATTGAAACCATAACTGCTCACTATGCATTAAAACACTGATGGCTCTTAATTCAAAAGCTTATCATGGATCGTAATCATCCATTATTCGATACATATACGTAAATTTAAATGTAATGAATACAGAAGTGTTAATAATCATTTTATTTATTTAAACTAGTAGTAACTTCTGATTTCATTGTATTCTGCTTTTCACAAAATGTCAAATCCCTGAATTCAATCCCTGTTGGATGAATTCATTGATCAAATGATCCACATACTAAGACAAAACAGCCATTTGTTCTTCTCATGGTATTCATTGATAACTTCTCATCAAAATTGTTTTAAAACCATGATCAAAGTCGTTTAAAACAACCAGAATAATAAAACAAGAATCAATTTACATTAATTATTAACATTAGTTTATTCTTCTTACTTAACATTCATTTTTTAGAAACAAAAAGTTAAAATTTATAATTTCCTGATATATTTCAAGAGAAAAGTACATTATAATTCTTCACCATTTTTTTCCTTTATTTAAAAGAAAAAAATTAAGAAACTAATTTCTATTACATATAGGATGATATCACGGGGTATATTCATCTAAAAAGTATCATTACATTTACCATTATTATGTATTAAAAGATAAGAAATATATTCTTGAAAAAAAGTTCATATCCGTTTCTTCATGAATAAATGATATAATTTATTTATCTATTTATTTATTACTATTATTACTATATTCATAATTATATATTATTATGCTTTATTAACAGTAGATTTATATTTGTAAGATTGTTGGTTATGATGTTGAAAAATACCAATCCTATAGAGATTACAAAAATCTATTTAGATGGCCATAGTGAGATGAAATAGTTATCTAATACTTTTTGGGAATCGACAATTGTCTAAGGTCATCCTATAATGTAAACTATTAAGTTTAATAATCTCTACAACCTAACCTACATCAATGATATTAGTTCTATTGTAGTAATATACTCTTTTTGTAACATTTAGTTAATTCACTCAAGTCTATGATATATTTGAAGGAAGACTTTAATTATCTTTATTTTGAATTTAGAGCAATATGTTCAAAAAGTGTTTGTCAAATACTATTTTTATAGTGATCCTGATTCTATCGCTTTTAATTACTCTCTTATGATGTTTAACAAACACATATACATTATTATTATTACTATTATTATTATTATTATTATTATTATTATTATTATTATTAGTAGTAGTAGTAGTAGTAGTAGTAGTAGTAGTATCAGCGAACTGTTTCCACTTCAGATTTTTGATTGCTAATCATATGATAACATTCTCATCTCAACTCCTGAATTGATCATGCTTATAATTACTATGATGACCCTAATAAGTGAACATAAAGTACGTTTTAGAAATCCCTTCTCTTCATAAGTGTTTACTTGAAACGTGAAGTTTAATACTTCTCATAAATTGCATTGAAATAGTTGAGATCTTCCTAAAGATGATATAACTGACAAATAAATAAAATATTTTTAATACATATCGCTTAAAATAAAACAAGTCGAATGTCATTCAGAAAATAAAATTCTAAAACTACAAATTGAATTTTTATTGAGATCATAAATGTCCCTGACTGTGAGGCTGGGTGACACGGAATCAAATCCATCAGGGAGCACCAGTTCCCTTAAGATTACAGGTACACCTTGCTGACGAGTGTCAAGTAGTACGAAACCCGGGTCCAGGGCTTCCTCTTGACTACCTTCAACCACCATCTAATCTCACAATAGTGCCCGCAATGTCGAGTCACCTAGACTGGTGTCCACATTGCAACATGGTCGATAGCATTCGCTCTGCACTAATAAGGACTTGACACACATGACATTGATCACCACCCAGTGATCAATCAATTGTGAAACCAGTCAATGTTAGACTGCCATTGAAAAACTAAAAACACTGGATAGTTGTTTCGTTTTAGTACGGGACTCATCAGCATTGAGACCCCACTATTCCACACGCGGAACTCGAATCCATAACCTTCGGTCCCGAGTGTGAACACTTAACCTCTAGACCACTGAGATAGCATCCAACGGTGTTAATGCCTTACTTCAACCAGTTTAAATATCGCGCAGCCATTTTTTATTGTCGTCGGTGAGCAACTGCCTCATACCCGACACGATTGAATTCTATTGGTCACGGTTTCTCAATAGAACTCTGATAATTACCTCTCGAAGCGATAAATTGAGTGACTACTCACTTCAGATTCATATGAGTAAACTTCAGTTGGCTACCGAACGTCACAACATATTAATCACCATATGAAGACAATTATGGATGAATAGAAATACTAAAATTCTGGATGAGGATATTACACAGAAAATTAGAAC